GGATATCTTAAATTTTTCGCCATTTCTTCAAAATATTTTTCTAAATTCCAAAAATTTCCCAAAATTTTTATAAATATCAACTATAAATTACCTGAATCTCGTGATTTTCCTACAAAAAGCATCGTTGGAAATGTGATTTATCAGGTATTTTTTTACAACTAAAAGGGCACTTCTGTCCCCCCTGCCCCCCCTAGCAAAAGGCAAGGGGGGCAGCCGCCCCCCCTGCCCCCCCAGTTCCGGCGTCCCTGAGAAAGTATTTTAATTATTAAAACGGTCCACATAAAAATTCTAACAAATTGTCAGTCAAAATAATATTCAAATACACATCAAGTATATTCGGCAAAGTATGCAAGAACAGCACAGTTATATATTCATATGACATGCTGTTTATAATGCCCCCCACATGAAATTAGTTTTTCACTTTGAGGATTTTTTTATACTTTTATTTCATACTCTGAAACAAAAGTATGAAGCTGGTAAGAGATGAGTGAGTTAGATATGACAAGTTTTATTCCAAGTATACACTTGTTGAAAGGGTAGTACATAACATGCTAGCTTTTGAACAAGTGTGCTTGTCTTTGAAAAAATTGGCAAGGAAAATTTGACAAAGCAATTTGAGTCCTTGGACACAGTTGGTTTAATAGCGATCTATTGTCGTTGATAGCTGTCTGGCGCCAAGAAAGACAAAGAGTGTCAAGACTTGTTATCATAGGCGTGTCGGGGGGCGGTAGCCCGCCCAGTTTTTTGGGCAGTCGGGCAATATTCGATCAACAGTCGGGCAATTTTGGTTTGTAATAAAAATAAATGGGAGAAATTCTGTCAATTAAGTTGAAAATTCAGTCAATTATGTTGTAAATTTTTTTTTTTTGAAAATCTGTGTGATGTACCGAAAAATTTTGGTATGTCTGGAAAAATTTTTTGGCGACGGGGGGGGGTCGCAAAAATTATTTTTCTGGAAAAATTTTTTTAGGTACTAGTCGGGCACAATCCCGAAAAGTCGGGCGAATTTCTTTCCGCCCCCCTAATTTTTTCCTTCCGGTACGCCCATGCTTGTTATAGAAAATTTGTTGTACATAAGACAACCTCGGCAAAGTTGATCGTACTAAAACTACTTGTTCAGTTTGATGGTGAATTGAATATTTAGAAAGCGATACTTTATAATAAAACATTAAAAATACGGAATATAAACGGAACACCTACCTATCTCAAACGATCCAGTGCTGAAATACATCAACATTCGACAAGGGGCCATTCCATTTAATATACACACACCCCTATGGATGAGGTCTGATAGTTTTGAGACCCCTCAGAAATCAACTGTGGTTCGACACGCCTACCCTTAAGAAATGGGATTTTCATAGACAACCGTCCGAATTTTTTTTCAAACAGTCATACTCATCGGAAATTCCTATGGATGAGGTTGCTATTTTTCTGACCCATCAGAAATTTCCATTTATGAAAAGCGACCCCTAAGAAATTTACATACAAAATATTAACCCCTCAGAAACAAAGTTTTTGAGAGCCAACCCCTCAGAATTTTAGAGGGTTTCTACAATAATTATAAACCCAACCTCTGGGGAATATAGAATAAAGCCATCTATTTGTGTTTTTGACACGTTTAATATCTGGTATTTTTTAATAATACGTTTGATTGTTTGTAATATATTTATAATCTTATAATGATGTATATTCATAATTACAATCATACAGTATCATGTTTATATTCATAACGGTTTTGTTAATATATAAAGGGACTGGTCATAAAATATAAGGGAGGGGCTTGAAAAAGTAGGGGAGCCAGGGGGATCATCCTTTTTCAGCATGGTTAAATGGGTGGGTCAGGAAAGGTTTGGCGGCAAGGAAAGGGTGGGTCATGTGAAAAGATGCAGACATTCTTTAGAGTCCATAATTCGTTACTACATAGAAATTTAAAGTTTCAATTTTTTAGAGAGCCACACTATTCAGCAACAGGGAAATAGAACGCTGATACATCTCGCTTTTCTGAAAGGGTGGGTTATGATTTTCCAGCAAAAATTTAAGGGCGGGCACATGTACAGCTATTAAGGGGTGGGCTATCAAAAAAGCGGACATCATAGATATGACCCCCCCCCCCTTACTCTATGACCAGTCCCAAATTATATGTAGCCTATATAACGTGTGACACTCTGTTGTAATATATTTCTGTATATCATAAGAAGTTCATAATCAGTTCGCTAGCATGTAGTGAATCGGTTTATATTGATGGGAAAAGATGATCATGGCATGAAAGCAAAGGGCATAAAATTTAGTTGACTGTAAAGTAACATGAACTGATCACAGAAAATACTAAATGGTTGATCAGAAGCTCTACACGGGCTCACTCTATCACCCAAATGAAGTAAAATGGACTGTTAGAAAGTACGGATGAGAGGAGGATGAAGACGATAGATGGTAAACACTCCTACTCATGCTTTAAATATTGTTTACATATATGGTATAACATTAGTCCAGCATTCTTCATATACATGTATATGAACAATGCGGGACTATAGTATAGCATTCCAGTAAAGCGTTTTTAATGCTTGTATGTATGAACAGAAATGCAAGGTTCTTTATAATGTTTGTGGAAGTAGTAATTACCATTAAATTCTGAATCAATGTTGGCACGCATCTAAGCGCTTATTTGGATTACAGCCAATATTTAAAGAAAACATAACTCAATTTCTACCTGTTTCGATATTATAACTTTATAAAATAATGTTTTAACAACTAAAATAATTTCTCTTTCAGCCGAAGTTTTCCTGTTATCAGGTTTGGCAATACTGGGATGTTATATACAAAATCTGGCTTGTCTAAAAAAAATAGATCAACTTCATCGTCATCGTAATCAACAGCTTGTACTTCAGCAGTGTACCAGCCTTGAATGAGAAAAGTTTAAAAAGTCGTTATTTAAGTAATCTGGTTGAAATACAACAGGGTTGTCATGGTACTGGTAATTAAAACTACAGTACTACTTGTAATTATTGTCTAATTAGTACCTGATGTCCAGTCTGTATCTTCAAGTTCATCTTCTTCCAACATGACTTCAACCACTACTCCAACTTGGCATACTTCTTCATAGTTCTGAATACTTCGTTTAGTGGATTGAGCGAGCCTTATCTTGTTTGCCTTAACATCTTCATCCACTTTATACGTATAGATAACATTAGCTTCTGTGTCAAACTCTACTTCTATTGTGTCACGTTCTTTATTGTGTTTCAACACAGACCCTACATACCAACCTATCAAAAATATTGACAGAGTAAACATTTATAATAATTTCATAATAAGTCAATTATTGTTTAGAATTTACCAGTTTTCCATCCTGAATCACCAATTTCTTCTTTACTCCACCGTGCTAATATCCTTACACCAACAGTTCGAATGGCATCCAAAAGTCCTGCAACAATTTCAGGTGCATTTTCCACACTGTCTACGCCAATATAAACCAAAAGTTCATCTTCTATAGGTCTAAAAACTTCATCCAAGGTCTCTAACGTTACCTCTTCCGGAACTTCCAAACGTTTTCCATTCTGTTTGGCGGATGCCGATGCACTGTCTCTTGGACGTATCATATTCAGAGATGCAGTGGTTGGTGTTAAGAACTTTCTGATTCTATGAATAACCACAGGATCTGTCAGATGATGTTCTTTCTGTCTCCTTATTAGTGTTTTCGTCGCGTTTATAATATCTTGAATTGCATGGATCTCATTCTGAAAAACCAAATGAGTTCTTCCTGCTCTTAATGTTCCCACTCTAATAGCGAGTTCGTCTTTGGTGCCACAATCCAATATGTTATGGAATCGTAAGATTTCACGAAGCTTGTAAACAGAAAATTTGGCAATTTGCGTTACATAATTCGGTAAAGAGAAGAGTTTACCATCATATTTCTCAAGAACGGGAGGTGGGTTTCTATTCAATTTTTTAACTAAGCGTTTCACGCACTCATGTTTTATCCCATCAGAACTTATACCATTCTTCTTACACAGTGATTGTAGCTTTGCTTTGTCGTTTTTCTTATATAAATCATCTTGTGACCAATACGCTCTCTCTTTCTCCTTTGTAAATGACGTGTCTAGTTTGTTTCGGAATTCATCTTCGAATCTTTTTATCTCCTCTTCGGAACACCAACAAAGGACACAAAGGCTTGACAACACTTGGTCCAATCCATGACGAAAAACTTTAATGGCTAATTCGAGTATCTTGGACGGAAGGAATGCTCCCGGTGTTTCATCCACTACATCAGTATCGAGTTTTTCCATTTTTTCTAACGGCAGGTAATGCATTTCTCCAGCTGTATGTAACCATCTTATGTAGTTTGGGATTGGTTGCATTGTATGCGCGTTCA